TCCCCCGGCACCGAGCTCCTCGGCTTGCAGGGGTTTGGAGGGTTTTGTCAAGGGTATACAAGTAATTACATAGCATGCGGTATATGGTGTTTTTAGTTTCATCTTCCTGCCCTGATGATGAGGATGGTGATTTCAGGATTCAGATGTTCATTCTTGGCACTTTTCCTCTTGGTATCTTCTGGAGCGGTCGCCTGGCGCTTCGTGGGCATTATAGCCCCTCTAAAGCCTAAGCCCCGGCACGCCTTGACTTTTGCTGTCGGCATGGTCTTCCTGAGGTGGCGCCTCCACCTTGAAACTGTGAGCTCTGAAATTTTTAAACCCTAAGCCCTGAGCCCTAAGCCCTAAACCTTAAACCCTAAACCCTAAACCCTACCCCAAGCCCTAAACAACCCCTGAAAGCCCTGAGGTTTCAAAAAGAGAGGGGAGAGTCCGAGTTGGGAAGCCTCTTGGGGGCTCCTGGCTTTTGGAGCTCGGGGCTTCCGCCCAAAAACCCGCCTTCAACTCGGAGCCCCCTGAAAGCCCCCCCCCCCCTGTAAGCATCTCGGACCCCGAGCCCGAAAGCCCTCACCATGCCTATCCCTGAGCCCTAAAGACTAGGGTTTTAGGGTTTAGGGTTTAGGGTTTAGGGTGGATCCAGGCTCTTCCAGAAGACGTACTACAAGCTCGTTGCCCCGGAGCTGATTCCGACATCTTTGACCACCTACCATTGCGTGCAGGGCTCTGTTCTGCAGGGAGATTTGACCTAAACCCGAAGCTGTTGGGGTCGGATCTCTTTAGCCTTTTTTCCCTACCTTCCTTCAGAATACATGTTCCTGGCACTGTATGTTTGGTGCTTCAAGTCCCAACTTCCGGACCGTCCGGGCCTTCAGCGCTAGAGTGTAGACCATTCACTCGAAGACCCCACACCCCCAAGTCCGCCCAGAAACGCCCGCCTCAAAAGCCCGAAAGCAAGGCTTTGGGGCTGAGAGACCCTAAACCCCAAATCCTAAACCCTAAACCCTAAGCCCCAAACCCTAAACCCCAAATCCTAGACCCTAAAACCCTAGACTCTAAGGTGTCCGGCGTGGCGACCAGCCACTGCCCCATCGCCTCCAGTCCTGTCTCTCTGCTGGGAAAGGCGACGCAGCCCGGGTCTCCCCCTTTTTTGCGGCTTCCGGGCCGGAGGTTAATTCAGGACGGTTTAGGGTTTAGGGTTCAGGGATTAGGGCCTTTAAGGGCTCCTGTAAGGGTTCTGTAAGGGGTGCCTTGTAAGGGCTCTTTTGGGGGTTTAAGGGGGTTTTAGGGGGGATTGGGCGTTCAGGTGGCTTTTTAGGGATCGGGTCAAAGAGGTGTCGCCCAGTGGGACACGAGCACTCTGCCAGGTATTTCCTGCAAGAATGCTTAAAACCCCAGGTTCCAAAAATCCAAAATGCCAGGTTCCTCTTGCCCTGCCCTAAACCTGAGCCCCCAAAGCATGCCAAACCTAAGCGCCCGGCTCTGTGATCTGATGGTTCAAGGGCTTTGAAGCCGAATGCTCCATCAAGCCAAGAAAGATCGACCCTGCTTACCTCACTACTACCTCACTATTACCTACTAGTACTAGTACTAGTACTAGTACTACTACTAGTACTAGTACACTACTACTACTACTACCACCACTACTGCTACTGCTACCTCTACTGCTACTGCTGCTGCTACTGCTACTGCTGCTGCTGCTGCTGCTGCTGCTACTACGACTACTACTACTATTATTATTCTCTTGTCATTGTTATTATTACTACTATTACTACTACTCTTACTCTCCCTCCCTCTCTCTCTCTCTCTCTCTCTCTCTCTCTCTCTCTCTCTCTTACTCCTACTCCTACTCCTGCTCCTGCTACTGCTACACCGACGACTACTCCTACTACTGCTGCTCCTACTACCACCACCACTACAACCACTGTCACCTGCCACCGCTGTATCTACAACTGGGGAATAGCCCCAATCCCTGAACCCCAAAAGCCTCAAGCCGAAACCAGCAAAATCCAAAACCGCTACAACCACAACTAAACTCCCTAAACCCTTGAAAGCCATGTGCGGCATCTTGGCTATCCTCTTGGCGGATCCCTGTGAGCCTGTGAATCAGCTGCTTTTCGATGGGCTCACGGTGCTGCAGCATCGAGGAGTCGCGGGTTCAGGGTTTGTTGCGTAATTCCGGGTTGTAGGCTTCAGGATGTCGGGGGCGTAGTTTGTGTTCTCGCAGTGTTCAGGGTTCAGAGCCTCTTTACGGGGAGTCGACGAGCCTTCGAGGTTTTTGCGTGTTGTAATTGGAAGCTTTAAGATCTCCGAAGCGGCCTTCGCAGCCTGACTCAGCCTTCTGCTGTCTTGGCTTAGGGATTTTGGCAGTGTCGGAATCGACTTTCCAAAGTCAGTGAAGCCTTCCGGAGCCCTGAAGGCCAGGATGCGGCGGGAATGCTGACCGCCGAAGCCACCAAAGGCTCCGAGCCTTCTTTGGTACCTTTTTCGGATACTGTTTTGGGGTTGAGGGTTCATGTTTCAGGTCTTGTCAGTTGAAGGGAGCAGTAGCCACGTGGGTGTGTGGTGCCTGCGGTTGGAGTTCGTTCTTATTTGCGAGGTCCCACACCTCCGGCGAAATCCTAACTGGCAGTGCTTGCAGTGATTGAACAAAAAGGCCTTTCACAACAATGTGGCAGTACTTGCTGTCTGCACGAATTGCTGGCCTGGGTGAGGCGCATGGTTTTGTAGTATACACTTATGTGGCACTGCACTGGCAGGTGCAGCACCCCCGATATCTGCAGGAACCCACCTTTAAGACAGACACCCCTAAACTCTAGAGTTCCCTAGCCATAGCAGGCCAAAGAACTGAACCTCTCGGATTTGGTGTCCTTACTGGATCCTTCCAAATGTTTGGACCCACTCAAACCCTAGCAACTCCAAATTCTTGACCTCAAAAACATCTTCCCTGGAGCCATCAGGCCGGACACATCTTCACAAAGGAAACGGGCTCGTCAAGGACGTTTTCTTCGAGGTGAGGGCAAGCGCCGAAGTAGTTAACGTAGAGACGTAGATGTTGTAGATGTGCATAACACAACATTGCGTCCAACCTTAAACCCTGAACAGCCCAAAACTGTTAGAGTGAAAACTCTGCTGTTTCCATCAGAACCCTGGGTCCGGAACATCACCCCCCGTTCACCAGCGTGACCAATCTTTCTTCTGGTAGTCTTCTTCCCATCCTTGGTAGTGCTCGGCCCCGGTAGATGCGGTATGCCCCCCAACCCGTTTCAGTCTGTAACCCCGACTCCAGGGGCACATGATGCAGCTTCAGGGGCACCTGGGTGTAGCACATTGCCGGCGCCTTGGCTGCGTCGGTGCGGGGATTTGGAGGCCGTGATGGAAGTTGCTATATCTTCGGAAGACCTTTCTGTGCAGCGGTTTTTGTTTTATCTTTTTGTCAGGTGCCTGGAGTCCGAACAGGTTCAAAAGCACCCAGAAACCCCAAAGCTGCAGCACAGACGGATGAGGAGAGAGCTGTGGCTGCTTGAAGTGACAGCAACAATCGCGGAGGTATCCTACAGCGGGTACCAAAAGCTGCAAGGAGGTGCTTCCAGGGTGTGGGGGGTGCACTCAGGCATGAAATGAGGCCGCCCCAAAAGGATCAAGATCATCCAGCCTCAGCATCAACATCATCAAACTCACAGCAGCACCATCGTCGTGATGATTGCGTTAGCTTTCCATGAAGAGTATACTGTATACCTATCTCCGCCCTCAGCACCAGCGATGCTCAACATGCATGTCAGCACGAGCATCAAGACCATCATAGCCACGAGTGTGTTCTCGTCGCGGTCCTCGTCGTCCTCCGCGTCCTCCTCGTCATCCCCGTCTTCGTCATAACCCTTGCTAACGCCCAACATTCATCATCATCATCATCATCATCATCCACATCATCGCCATCACCGCCATCATCTCCATCACTGCCATAACAAACGCCGTCGTGCAAGCAGCTCATAGGCTCACAGAGGTTAGTTTCGAGTCTAGCTTCCCTTGTCTACATTGTGGTGGCCGGGAGGCGCAGCCCTTCTATGGCAACTACCCGTTTGGCCTGGCTTGTGCACACAACGGCAGTCCGGCTTCGATTTCAGGAGTCTTTGTTCTTTGGTTGCGGCCGCTTGTGATAATTGAGGAGAAGCCAGGATATGCTCCATCCGCAATTCAACAGATGGCTTGGAGACCTGTGATCGCCACGCCCTAGACCCTGCACGCGAACCGAGGCAACCTCACCAATGTCGCCGATCTCCGGCATCACGTCCGGAAGAGTCGATGGCATGCCAACACGGAGTCAGATCCTTCGCTGCAACCGGCCTGGATTTCTCAGCTGGTTCTGCATTCTTGTTGGTACAAGAGCGATACTTTGCAGCTTTAGTTGTTGTGGCCATCGTAGCTACTAGGCTACCAGCATCACGTGGCTATCCTTTTCTTGCAAGCCTCCTTCTTCGTTGTCAACAACAGCAGCAGGAGCAGCAGTAGCAGTGGCAGTGACAGCGGCAGTCGCAGTGGCGGTGGCAGTGGCAGGAGCAGGAGCAGGAGCCGGAGCAGGAGCAGGAGCCGTAGCAGCAGGTGCTGCTGCTGCTGCTGCTGCTGCAGCATCTGCAGCATAACAGTAACGAAAGTAGTAGCAGCCTGAGGAGGAAAAGGTGAAGGTTGATTGAAGTGGTTGAAGAGCACTAGCAGAAAACTGATGATCATGGTGATGGCTCTGGTGGTGTTTTTCGACGATGATCATGATGATGTTGCAGATAACATTTATGACTACAGTGACCTTGTTGATGATGAGCCCTGAAGCCCAAAGCATCTGGCACTAAGCCAACCATAAACGCTGCACGCTGCGCCTTTGAAAGAGGCTGGTGAAAGGTTCAGTGAAGATGCCGAGCATGATCGCAAAAACAACTGCCCCAGAGGTTCAGGTCTGTAGGGATTTAGGGTTGTAATAGGCTTCTAGATTTTTGAGCTTGGCGATTCATCAGGATACGGAGCTCCTTCTGCACACCTTTGCGCACGCGTTGGCAGCCGCAGTGCCGGCAGATGCCATGCTGCCATCTGCGGAGCAGGTCTTCGAAGCGGCCGCGGAGGCGTGTACATACATACAGACATATATATATATATCTCTCTCTCTCTCTCTCTCTCTCTCTCTCTCTGCGTGTGCATGTGTGTGTGTGTGTGTGTGTGTGTGGAAGAAGCTTGCATTCTGTTTTTACAATTCATTGTCCAAAGGGTTTCTCCTTGCTACGAGTTCTGTTTTGTTCTGAAGCTCCAGTGTGTCATCAAGGCAACCATAGGACATTTATCATGTAACGATTACTGCTGGGGCCCGTGGCTATCGTTTGCAAGAATCTGGGCAGCGGAGTTTGGTATAGCTTGGTAATCCGGTCTACTCAAAAAGTGAATTGCCCCGAACAGAACAGGAGAGCCCTTTGCAGAGAGCCGAATCGACCACGCCTCCGAAGGTCATGCGGATTGCGAAGGGTGGCTACAGCGTTGTGCTGCTCATTACAGGAGCTTTGCACACATCACGTGAGCACCAGTTGAGGATTGCCTGAAAGGAGGATGGCCCGGTTTTCCGCTTTTAAAGGAGCTTTCAAAACAGCCTCGTTGTCCTTGACTTCTCAACACTACCAGCGACTCGTCTGTCTATTGTGGTCGGCTCACGTCAGAGGGTATTTATCAATACGCATGGCTTGCAATACATCTTGACCCAGCTCAGGCAAGATCCGTGTTTCCGTGTACACTTGAGGGTATTGGCAAGTTTAGACCCTTCGCCACGCTTTTCGCGCCCCAGGAGCTGGCATCCTTGCATTTCGGGACGTCTTCGGCATTCGGCCGCTCGTGATTGGCCGACGATCTGAGGGCTCCGTCACCGACTACATTGCAGCCTCAGGCGCAGAAGAATCCGATTTCCGAAATCCAGGGCTTCAGGGTACTGTACCGAAAGTCATATTTATAGAGCATCTGTCATGAACCTGAAGTCTGGCAGGATGTTTTTTGAAAGGCCATCAAGGCCCGTTTCATGTTCTGGTCTTCGCAGAACGGCAGTACATGCCGGACGACAGGAATCCCATGAAATCCCCACACTTCTGCAATGCTGTTTCTGCATAGTAATAGATCTAAAAATAGATGTGAAAGTAGTGCATGCTTTTGCTTGTCTCCTTGGCACATGAGTCTGAAGCCTTTCTCTGCTGCGCCGTTTTCGCCCAAGTGGGCCCACTGAGCCTGATCATTTCGCTTCACGGCAAAAAGACATGTCTGGCAGCGCCGTGCTTTCCTTTTGCTAAGTTGGCACCGGAGCCTGACCTACGTGCGGGAGGCTTCTCTTCTACTTCAGCCCGCGATGCCGAGAGTTCCCGATGTGTTCAAGATGAACTCGGATGACGACACCGGCATGGAGGCTTTCCCTGTTGATGCTGGGGACGTCGCCCCCGATGGGGCGAGGGATGCAGCCCACGAGGCCTCTGCTGCGGAGCACTTCGTGGAGGAGCAAGCCCCCGACTTCCAGGGACCTACTTCGAGCGAGTGGCGTTGCCTTCGTTGCCATGGCGACAGGTGGGAAAGGAATGTGTATGGAGTTTGGTTGTGCTGCGGCTGTGACGGCACTGAGTACTACTCCTCCCTTCGCCCCCATCGCCATGAGACGGACGAGGGCGTCTGGATGTTCATGCCCAGGCGACCGACGACCCAAGGCCGCGCCGGACCTCGAGCAGATGAGCCTGGCCAGCAGCTTCCTTCGAAGGCTCTCTCGAGACGACAAAGGCGGCGGCAGCGTGTCGCGATGCAGCCTGGCGGTGGACCTCCAGAACCGGACTACGACGGCTACTCGGAGCTGCCGGAGTCCGAGGCACCTACCTTCGACCCGATTGTGGAGCCTGACACGGCCGATGATGATGCACCTCCCCGGCCACCAAGGCGACCGAGGAGGACGACTTCTTGCCCGGCGAGCCCACCTTCTTCCGGACCTACCTCACCGCCGCGACCCTCTACTTTGCCAGCCACGACAATGGCGCAGACCACGGCCAACCCTTTAAGGACTTCCGGGCCCGTGTTGCAAGACTTCGGCACTTCGGCCCTTACCCCAGGCGGTGGCAGCGCAACCACGTGGAAGAGCAGGATGGGACCAGAACGTGGGGTGAGATGGCGCGGAGGAGCGCCACCCGTGCCGCCTACCTGGCGGTACGATGCGCAAGATCCTCGCGCATATTCCAAGTTCGCCAAGAAGGTGTCTCTGTGGCGCATACAGGTGTCATCGTATATGACACCGCGCGAGGCAGCGTTGATGCTCTACACGAGCCTCACCGGGGAAGCGGAAACGGAATTGGAACATGCTCCCATCGAGTCGATCAACTCCGACAAGGGGATAGAGTTCATCCTGGAGACCCTCCGCACGCCAATGGAACAAAAACTTGTGTTTCAGAAACGCAAATTCTTGAGCGAGTACGAGAACATCCAGAGGCAGCAAGGCGAGGGGCTCCGTTCTTTCAGCAACCGCTATAGGCGTGCAGAACGGAACCTCAGAGCTGTTGGCGTGGAGGTCGGCCAGATGTACGACAACGACAGCCGGGGCAATCGCTTGCTTGAGCGGGCAAGGCTTTCGCCCCAGGACCAACGGCTGATACTGGTTGGCAGCCGCTATTCCCTCGCCTTCGAGGACATTTCGGAGTCGATGCACATGCAATATCCGGAGTTTCGTGCTCCTCCTCCGGTGTGCGGCCGGGACGGACAACCGATTCCTCGCAAAGGCGATGGCAAAGGCAAGCCCGGCTCTACCTCGGCGGCGTCTTCTTCGACTTCGCACGGGCACGGCCCCAAAGGCTACCCTGGCAGGGGCGGCCCGCGCAGAGTTTACAAGACCGACCAGGTCGAGGAGGCGGCCCTGGAGGAGATCCCCGAGGAGGAGTCGCAGGACGAGCGCGCCGACCACCAGGCCGACGACACCGCCGACGCCCCCGACAACGACGACTTCCCCGACAACGAGCCGGACGAGGGCACGGACCCGATCACCGAGGCGCTGGACGTTCTCACGGTCACGGCCAAGAAGCTCAGTTCCCTTAAGCTTGGGCGGAAGTTCAGCGGTGGACCTCGTGACGGGAAAGGCCAGCGGGACGGCCGAGATGGCAAAGGCGCTGGCAAGGACGTGGCGGCCCAAAAGCGGGTCACACATTGTGCCGCCTGCGGGGAACGCGGCCACTGGAAAGGAGACCCCGAGTGTTCTATGACGACCTCCTCCCAGCGGCCCTCTTCTTCTTCGTCTTCGGCAACCCCTGGCGGCACCGGCGGGAACAAAGATCGGCGATCCCACCAGGCCTTCTTTGTCAAGGACTTCGGGGCCCTGGAGGTGACGGACCAGCCCGCCAACGAGCAGTACGGCAAGATGTTTCAGGTGAACGTGGTTTTCGGTGTTCAGGCCCGCAGCATGCACGAGCCGAGCTTCCGCGGCATGATGATCCTCGACACCGCGTGCCAGCGCACATGTTGTGGAACACGCTGGCTTGCTGAGCAGGCTGCGCTTTTGGATGAACAGGCGCTGCAGTGGCATAGCGCTCCTCTGCAGGACGTTTTTCAGTTCGGCTCGGGGCCTCCGCTCAAGGCGAAGCAGCGAGCCTACCTTCCCGTTGGGGTTGGAGGCGTGGACCTCCTCATCGGAGCCGGCGCCCTCGATGTAGAAATTCCTTTGCTGGCTTCCAATAGGCTTCTTGATGCTCTGGGTATGGTTCTTGATTTGCCGAACAACCTTGTGACGTTTACCACTTTGCATGTGACGGTGCCCCTCCTTAGGATCCACGGACACCTGACAGTGAGCATTGTGCAGTTCAGTGGCAGCATGCAGTCATGGCACAGTTTGCAAAGCAGTGTTGATTGGAACGACCCCCCTCCGGAGCTTGTGGTTCAAGGTGATTTGGCAACTTTGCCCTCTCCTTCCGCAACACCCGCGTCACATGCCTGGGCTGACGACTCAGCTGGCGACTCCCCCGCAATGGTTGCGCAAGTGGCGGAGGTACGTGGCGGCCCTCCTCGACTTCAAGAAGAACTTCTTCGTGACGCTGACCACGGCGGTTCGCCTCGGCATGCTCCCGGACTCTGTCTACGAGGTGGTGCCGCCGATCTTGGACAACCAGTTCGTGAATCCGCCCTCGAGCTGCAAGCACCCGGAGTACACAAGGTACGGGAATGCGTACGGGAAATTCGCCCGGTGCAAAAGATGCCTGAAGCGTTGGAGGTGGAACCAGGAACATCGAGTCTGGGAAGAACACCCCGACAAGGACTTCGACTGCAAGCTTTTAAGTTCGCAGCCTCCCTTGCCGTCTTCCTCCAATACTGTACCTCGGGGCTCGGTGTCTTCGGCGGCGAACCGCAAACCTTCGACCCGGGCCTCCTTGAGCGCGGCATCACCCAAGACCTTCTCAGCACCACCGAGGCGCACTTCCCGACGGAGCCGGCCAAGCAGCAGCAGCGAGATGGACGTGGACCCATGGCGCCTTCTCCAGGACGACACGGACCTGGACTTCGACTGGGCACAAGTAGACGACTAAAGGGAGACTGGGCCCGCTCAGCGCGCATCCTGGAGAGCGAGGTGGGTATGTACCAAGGACAACCTTCTACGGCAGCACGACCCCCTCACACGGTGGACCTCCTGGTGATCCACGACTTCGGCTTTGACCTGTGCGGCGACGCGGCGGAGCTGAAGCTCTCCTCGACTGTGTTGCCGGCCGCGCTGACCTACGACCTCCCTCGCGGACCGGCTTCACGACAACAAGCACTACGAGCACTACGACGGCTTCGGCCACACGTTCTTTGTGTTTCGCTCCTCGACCACCACCTTGACGACTTCGAGGACGGCCTCCTCTTCGAGATGATGCAGGAGCAGATGGACGCAGGACGGGCATCCCTGGTGATTGGCCCGTCCGGGCAGGGTCTTCAAGGCGTGGCCTCTTCCTTTGAGATGAACTGCACCACCTTCGGGCACGGCCGTGCGGCCACGACCCTCGCTACCACTATCCCGGGGGCTTCTTCTTGGTTTGGAAAAGATGACCATGGCTACACCCCGGACTTTGTGCACCACCGAGACGCCTTCCTTTACATGATTCGGGACTACGTGCGCGGCAAGGACCCCACACGGTTTGGCACTTTCCAGGCGCTCGTGACTTACCAGAGCCCGGTTTCTCGACTAGAAGAGTGGGACGATATCGCTGAGATGCTGAGCCGCTCCTTCGGCAACCCGGGCACGCGCCCTTACTACATCGACCCTTCTTCAGAGGCGGGACGAAGGGTTTCGGAGCTTTTTCGAATGAAGCTTGAGAAGATCCAGGCCGTGCAGACACCCTCGCAGCGCAGGTTGCCACAGGACATCCCGTACACCGCCCGGGGAGCCTTCCTCATCTACAACGACGGCAGCAAGGCGGTGGAGACTGAGGACCTGAGTCTGGTTCGGCACCCCAAACAAAGGTTCACCAAGCCGGTGAGGTGCGGCATTTTGGTGTACGGCCACCTCATTGCTGACGAGCTCCAGGACCGGCCGCTTGAACCACAGGCCCCTGTGCCTGGCCTTCCGACCGACGTCTCCTTTCCTGAACTCTCTCCTCAGGTGCCAGTGGAAGTTCGCCGGTCGATCGCTCGTGCCCACATCAACTTGGGGCACCCAACAGCTCAGGAGCTCATTCGCGTGGCCACGGCTTCCGGCTCCCCCAGCAACTTGTTCATCGAGGCGATCCGGAAACTGAAGTGCAGCACGTGCGAAAGACTCAAAGGACCTCAAGCACCACGACCCGCAACCGCAACCATCAATGCCTTCCAGTTCGGCGACCGGGTGGAGGTTGATATCTTCTACTTGAGAGACCTCCAAGGCCGCAGCTGCATGATTCTTGGAGCCGTGGATGTGGCCACAAGGTTCCACCAGGCTGGCTTCCTTCGCAGCCGCGAGCCCCAGGACGCCTACGACGTGCTGGACAATATCTGGCTCAAGCCCTTCGGCCTCATGACCCAGATTGCCCTGGACCCTGACACCACCTTTCAAGGTGCCTTTCAGGAGCGGTTGCGCTCCCACGGCGTGATGGTGGACTACTGCGCGGCCGAAGCACATTGGCAGATTGGCCACGTGGAGCGCCAGAACGCCTTCCTTCGCACAGTGATGGAGAAGCTTGTGGACACCTTTGCCGCCACCAGCGTTACAGATATCAAGTTGCTCCTGGCCCCGGCGCTGCACGCAGTGAACAGTATGACGCTGAGCCGGGGAAGGTCCGCTTTTCAGGCTGTGTTCGGCCGGGTGCCACGGCTTCCAGGAGGCTTGCTTACCGACTCCAACGTGCTGACGGCTACTCCCACGGATGACCCGGCGGCAACCGCAGAGATCATTAGATCGGAAGCTCTGAAAACTCTTTATGATCTCAATGTGCGACAAAGTATGCGGAGGGCCATCCTCCGCAAGACACGGGACACCAAGGTGCCCCAGCTTCAACCCGGACAGGCCTGCTCTTTCTGGCGCTGGCGAAAGAAAGGACTGAAGAAAAGAGGAGGATGGATCACCGCTCGATTCCTCTCTTGGGATCCGGCCTCCCCTGGGAAAATGGCCTGGGTCCGATCCGGCACCACCACGGCACTGGTCGCAGTGGAACAGCTCAGGGCGGCGACTGGTTTCGAGGCTTGGCTGCCAACCGAGCCCGACGTTGCAGCACTCAAGGACGCTTCGCAGACCCTCGACCAGGCCCTTTGGACAGACGAGACCGGACCCGCGCCAGACCAACGACAACGGGCGGATGACGCCGAGATGCCGGACCTGGACGCCCTTGCAGGAAAGGACCTGGAGATGGCAGCGGCTTTGACTTCGGCTTCTTCACTTCCGGCGGCGGCGGCTTCTTCGAGTACGCCACCTCCCGTGGAAACTTCTCAAGTTACGCTGGACGTGGACCAGACAGTGCAGAACTTAGTGTACCAGCCCACCGTCCAGAACACCTTTGTGCGAAACGTGGCCAGACTGGGAGACCCGTCTGCTGGAGCAAAGCGTGGAGCTTCGATTCCACGCACCCCACGGGGCACTTCTGCGCCGAGAACGCCCAGGAGTCGCTCACCAGCGCCACCGGCGAGACCAGTGGCGGACACACGAGCCGAAGAACCACAGGAACCACAAGCGCAGCTACCACAAGAACTTCCAGAACCACCTGTCCCAGACGGTTCTCAGACACGAGCCGAAGAACGACAGGAACCAGTCCAGCTACCAGAAGAACTTCCTGAACCACCTGTCCCTGAGGTACCAGTACCAGAGACACCTTTGGAACCAGGTTGGGAGTCCGCACCGTTTTCTTCGGCAGCTTACGAGTCCGAGGCAGAACCTGAACCACTACAACCAGCCGAGTTGGAGCAGCTCTTCTCTACAACCACCGGAGCACGAGGACGTTCAACCACAGAGTCAACTCCTTTGGCGGCTTCTTCTGGGGGAGCACCAGGCCAAGAAACAGCTTCGGCAGATAACACGTCCTCGGCACGGCCCCCAACGACGCCTGTTACCAGCGAGCCTTCGGCACAGGAAGGAGGCCAACCAAGCTTGCTGCCGGCCAAACGCCCGTTCGAGGCACTCACCACTTTCTTTCTCGACGAGGGCGAGCTTTACCACTGCACTCCCGGCAACGAGCTGACTGAAGGTTACGGCCCTAAGGAGGAGCGCTGCTACAAAGCTTACCTTAACTCCAAGCACCGCCTCGACGACGTCAAGAACCTCGACAAGCAGGCCGCCGACAGCGACACTAGCGACAGCGACTGGAACGACGTTGCGCCTTCAACGGAGAAGCGCGGCATGACCCGCGCCGAAGCCAAGGCACTCGATCGCGAGATCCCCTGGAGACAGATCCTCGACATGGACCCCGCCGACATCAAGGCGTACGTCGCGGCCACCGAGAAGGAGGCAAAGAGCTGGCTCGAATGGGGCTCTGTCAAACCCCTGAGCCACACCGAGGCACAGTCAGTACTTCGAGACAAGGTGCTGGCAAAAAGAGTCCTCAGGACCCGCAGCTGCTTCCGGGACAAGAACAAGGGCCTCGGCCAGCTGGCGGCTAAGTGCAGAGTGGTCGCTTTGGGCCACCGCGACCCGGACATCTACAGGCTGAACCGCGAATGTGCCACGCCAAACCGGACCTCGGAGCACGTCCTGTTCATCATCTTGACCTCCGGGAGTAACTCCGAGTTTGCCGACTCCAAGAAAAAGTGGTTTGGCTGGGCCGGGGACGCCTCAACGGCTTTCCTTCAAGGGGACCTGTCAGACGCAGAGCGGGAGCTTCCGCTCTACCTCCTCCCTCCAAAGGACGGAGTGACTGCCTTGACCTCGTGCTGGAAGGCGCCCTTGTACCTGGTTTGCACCAACGTGTACGGCCTCAGCAACGCGCCCCGCTTGTGGTCGCTCACGGTCATCAAGCGGCTGACCGACCTTAACTATAGGCAGCACTCCTTCGACAAGATGGTTTTCCTTAAGTTCTGCCCTCAAGGACATCTGCTTTCGATTATCATCGTCTACGTCGACGACTTCCTCGGCGCCTACCGCTCCGACTACAACCTCGACGAGGCCAAGGACGCCTTCAAGTGGGGTTCTTTGCAGGACTTCGAGGTGGGCAAGGCCGTTACCTTTAAGGGGAAGCAGATCACCTTGAAGCGGAAGGCGAATGGCCGACACTACCTTCACGTCTGCCAAAGGGAGTTCATCGGCGGAATGACCTCCGGGAAATTGCCTCGTGGAGCCGATTTAAGCTCCACTCTCACAACAGAGCAGCGCGCGGAGTTCCGCAGCGTGACTGGTTGTCTTCAGTGGGTTTCCGGACAGAGCCGCCCAGAACTTTCGGCAGTGAACAGCCTCTCGAACCACGGCGGAGCCACCACCCTCGGCGACCTCAAGGCTCTGTACGAGGCAGTGAACTTTGCCTCCGCCACCAAGGACGACGGCTTCGTTATCCCAGACGTGCCCGTGAACACCAGCAGCGTCCTCCTTTCTTTCAGCGACGCGAGTTGGGCAAACGCTGAGAACTGCCGTTCACAGTGCGGCGTCTTGGTGCTCTTGTGCGCACCCCACGTGCTGGAAAAGCCTGCAGAAGCCATGCTCTTAGACTGGCGCTCGAGCCGTTCGCAGCGGGTGTGCCGTTCTACTTTGGCGGCAGAAGCCTCCGCCGCCGACGAGGGCTGTGACAGAGGAGTCTACATTAACCTCTTCCTCAGCGAGATCCTGTGCAACATCGCGGCCCACAAGGTGAAACCTCGGCTGAGCCAGCTTGCGGTTACAGACGCAAAGTCGCTTTACGACTGCGTCGTTTCAGACAGCCCGAACCTGAGTGACAAGCGTTCCCTGGTGAACATACGTGCCATCCAGGAGGTCGTGCCAGGTAGCTCCTTTCACTGGGTCCCGACGCAACTTATGTTCGCCGACGGACTGACAAAGCACTCTAAAGAGCTGCAGCAAGTGATGCACGACTGGCTCCAACAGCCGAAGGTTACCCTCAAACGGCAGGACTCATGAGCCAAAAGAGAATTATAGCAGTGTGAAAGTAGTGCATGCTTTTGCTTGTCTCCTTGGCACATGAGTCTGAAGCCTTTCTCTGCTGCGCCGTTTTCGCCCAAGTGGGCCCACTGAGCCTGATCATTTCGCTTCACGGCAAAAAGACATGTCTGGCAGCGCCGTGCTTTCCTTTTGCTAAGAATAGAACAAGGTAATACTATAACAACGATAATAATACCATTAATGATCATACTACTACTACTACTACTACTACTAATAATAACCATAATAATAATTATAGTCATAGTAATAATACTGATGGAATTCATCGTTGAGTGGACTAACATCCCTCCCTGAGAGTCGGTGGTGATGGATACCCTCGGCTTTGACGTGCTGCGCGACGTGGATCCAGGCGAGATGTTCGAAAAACCACTGGGGCTTTCTTTCTGGAGGCGGTTGTGAACCATGGGAACCCTTAAGCCCTGGACCTAAACCCTAAGCCGCCCTAGGCTCCGAATCCCCCAAATCCTTAAACAGGCGAGGCCGTCTTTTTTGACAGCCGCTCGAACTCCATGTCCTCGAAGCAGTGCTTCTATGAAAGCACGCCCCAGCTGGTGCCCTGCATTTTCGAGTATGTCTACTTCGCTCGACCCGACTCTGTTATGGATGGGGTGTCCGTTTACGAGTCGAGAGTCCGGATGGGTCGAAGCCTCGCCCGCCGCGTGCAACAGGTGACGGATTGGCGGGAGATCGATGTGGTGATTCCTATCCCTGACACCTCCCGGACCACGGCCATTGAGACTGCCTACATTCTGCAGCGACCTTTGCGAGAGGCCTTCCAGAAGAACAGGTACATTGCCCGGACCTTCATCATGCCTGGACAACAGAAGCGAAGGAAGACCATGCGGCTCAAGCTCAACACCATCCGCAGCGAGTTCAAGGGGAAGAAGGCGGGCAGTTTGACTCCACAATTCTGTCTACACTTGCAGCCGTCTTCCTGCCTGCCTGACTGGTTCTCGCAACTCCTGCTATGTCTAATCGGATGATGAACCTCTTGCTCTTCTGATCTTTGCTGTTATTGTCGTTCCAATCAGCAGCGAATTCGACACCCGAAGTCCGACATCCTACACCAAATTCTCCTCAAGCTTGAACCCTGGACCCGAGACTAGACTCCAAAATCGGAATTACACTCAACTCCGGCGAGGTGTTGTTGGTCGATGACTCCATCGTCCGCTGGAAGCTCAGATTCCAGCAGGCCAAGCTTGCTGGAAAGGTTCCCTGTCTTCCCTTCGTCCCTGCGTGTATCTTTGTTTTATAGCTCACATGACATCATATTATGTCGCAGGCGCACACACTGAATATCTCTCCTATATGTACGCAGACAAGCGTATTCACATGCACATGTATAGAAGCACGACGCATCAACCATCATCAACCTCTGGCTGCTGATGTGTATATGTCTGCCTGTTTGTTTGGATGTAAGTACATATGTATGCATCTATGCAAGCATGCATGGATGGCTGGACGAATGGAGGATGGATGGATGGATGGATGGATGGATGGATTGATGGATGGATGTAAGTACTATGTACGTATGTATATATGCAGGTATGTACGTGTGCACGTACGTATGTCGGCATGAATGAAATGAATATCCGTGCTGCAGTGTTTCCGTCTCTACGTCTTTCTCAATCCCTTCCCAGAATTGCCGCCGCTGTTGTCCTGTACCCACATCTCAAGACTTCAGGTGGCACCACCTGCAATGAGATCATTCAGATGGCAAGGGAGGCTCGGTGATGAGATTTGGTGCGGCCGGGGCGCTGAAGTTTGTAGGGGTTCAGGTTTTGGGCTTGAGATTTTTTTGAGGATATTCCGGATCATGTAGAACTCAGCGTCACAAGGTTCACAAGTGGCATGCTTGGGGGAATGAAGGTTTTCTCTGACTGTGCCTGAGGGCGGTTTCATCGAATGTATGCTGTTGGACATGTATCCAGGCACTCCTTTGCTTCCCGCCTTCAGGCTTGCCACCTAAAATTATGGAACCTTAAGGGAGGGTCCCAGGGATCCTTAGGGAGCTTTAGGGAACCTAAGGGAGCCCTAGGGAGAATTGGGGATTATTGGGTTATATACCCCTCTTAGAACCCCCTCCCTTAAGGATCCCATAATAAAACCTAAAAGCCCTACACCT